CAGGATATTCATCTCAGTATATTAATAGATAATACTAATTTCCCATTTGAAATATTTACACTTAAAACATTTGTTGTTACTGAGCACATTTAGTTGCAACTAACTTTATTCAAAATTATCACTTTTTATTGTATTGTGACAGCTGTCATGGAGGCATATTTTTTCTTTAATGAAAATAGAATCAATAAAGAAAAATATACCTAACATGGACAATGGGAAAAAAAAATAAGCAATATATGCTTATTTTAAGTATGGCACAAATAGGACTCACATGTAAAATTTACAAAAATGATGGAATTAAATTTATGGAGTAGGTATTGTGAATGAGCATATGCACCAATTGGAGGTCATTTTTTTTTTTTTTTTTTAGATCAGCTGCCAATTTGACTTACCAAACATTTTAGACTTACCACCAAGACAGGATTAGATACTGAGTTGAGAACTGATGACATCAGGAAGGTCATTGATAAAAATTAGGAAAAAAGTAGGTCTGAGAATGCATGTGTCCCAGGGGGACACATGCATTTATATAGAAAGTTCTAGAAGAGTGGCTATGTAAAACAACCTTCATTTTACAATTTGATAAGAAAGATTGTATTGAATCAAAAACTTGGCCAAAAATACCATAACTTTTCAATTTGTGAAGAAGACCAGCATACCAAATCCTGTCAAAACAGGGTTTGGTATGCTGGTCTTCTTCACAAGCCACCTTCAAGATGTCTAAAGTAACAGTCTGAGCTTCACCATTCTCATCTAAAGCTTGACAGGTTCTTTTGAAAATGACCATAAACACATCGGCAGTTGACCTAGAGAAGTGAAAGCCATATTGTTTGTCTGATAGAAGACTCTGTGAGAACTCTGGATTGATTCTAGTACTTTTCCAAAAAGAGGTAGAGGTTCAAAGGATCAGACATTTTGCCAGAGATCTTAAAAATGGGAAGTACAAAAGAGGATTTCCAACAAGCTGGAAATCAAGAAATAGCAAGGCATTTATTGTAGAGCTAAGAACAAGAGCCAGTTACTTTACAGCAATTGCAGAGATATCATTGAGTTCAAATGCTTTGTGGGGATCAAGTGTAGAGATGATAGCAGAAACCATGGATGGAGTTATATGCATATCACACACTAAAGACCCAGTTCTAAGCTGAAAGTCAGGCAAAGATTCTCCAAATAAGTCAACAGTAGAATTGGAAGAGAATTTATGAGCAAAACATTCTGCTTTATAAATAGATAAGACTTTAAAGTGAGTGATTGAGGACTTACTCTTATTTAATACAGAGCCACTAGTAGTTACAAGAAGCAACCTTGTGAGACAGTGATACAGTGCCTCACTCTATCAGCAAACAAAGACAACCTCATTGAGAACATTTGCAATTATTACAGTCAGCCAGAAAGAGGCTTCTGTTGTGATTAGAGCTATCATGTTGGTGTAGCCAGAAAAAGTGATTCTTGTGAGCTATAGTGAATGAACAGGCAGGTGTGAACCAAAGAGAAAGAAAAAGAAAAAAGAAATTTTGTGCCATCTCAGAAATACCAGGTGAAGCCTGGTATTTCTGAGATGGCACAAAATTTTTGATACCAGTTTTCACCCAAGATGAAAATTTAGTAGCACAATTTTCAAAGATTAAAGGTTTCTCTTCAGTGGGTGTCAAAGAAAATTACAAAATTAATCCCAATCAGAATGCTGGTAACAGAAAGAAGTTTTGTCAATAAGTTCATAGTTCATGCTTAATAAATGAGTCAAAACAAGTATTAACATGATGTGAATTGCCAAGATGTTCAACAAGCCAGGAGATGAAGTAAAGATATTTTTTATATTAACTTCATTGAGCAACATATTTTCCATTTTATTACACTGTCTTTTACCATCATTCAGGCAACTTCTTAATTGCATCCTCCCAAAATGTTCTAATATTTCTCAATAAAAACTGCTCTAAATATATTTTGCAGTCTTGACATCTTTTTTATTAGTCTTTTATAAAAATCAGAATAAATAGTAATCTAAAGGTGTAATATCTGATATTATAGATTAGTCAAAACCTTTCAGCTTAGCTGTAACAATTTTTACCTGGTCATCAGATAAATATACAGTGCAGCATTTACTTTGATTGAATATTCTGCCCTATTGTCTAAACTCAAGGAGGTAATAATAGAAGGTTAACTTCTAATCTCACTACATAAAAACATCATCATTTTTAGATGAAGACCAGACTTTAGTATAATTGGTGGCTCTTCATTCCACTTCCTCCATATTTATGAAGTATCCAATTCTCATTGCTTGGCAAGATTTAGAAAAAAAAAAAAAAAAAGGAACACTTTCATTATGCATAATTATCAAATCACACACAAATATGGTCCAATAGGTCTTTTCAGTTAACTTTTGTGAAAGTCTCATATATATCAAAGTTTATTTTATAAATAAACAATTTTCTACACTTAATTCAGTACGTTGTCCATTTTCCATATCATATAACATTGATTAGTTTCATGTAATCTTTTGATTATCTATCCAACAAATGAGAAAGCTCCAGAGCACTTTTGGCACATTTTCTCATTCATATTTTCTCTATAAACTTAATTCCATTATTTTATTTTGCAGGTGAGTCATATTTGTCTAGTGCTAGGAAAATTTGTTCACTGTGCCATGCTAGACAATTTCTCTCACAAGAATCTATCTTGGTACTACAACTTCATGAAGTATAGTACTAGATTGGCAGCTAGTATTACTGTGGAAATTGCTAGATTATAACAGTAAGTTCTATATTAATAGTTTCTTTTCTGTGGAACTCTCTTTCAGCTCCTTGCTTTCCTATTAACTACTATCTTAAATTTAAATGCAACATCAATCATCATGTTTTTTTTTTAATTCTGTTCTTTTATTGTCCTTTCACTTCAATAACATTTTCTCATTTTTTTTTCACTGTCAGTAACCACTTGCATCTTAGTGGTTTTATTGCTCTGCTTGTGGTGAAATAATTAACTAACTTTTAATATAATTTACTTTTATCAATTCATCAATGTTGATAGTGTGGCCTAATTTGACAAAAATGAGCTATGATAGCAATTATTACACAATATCTGCAGATCAAATTGTAAAGACCCCAAAACAAGTGCTTCACTCTGCTATTAACTTCTCTTCAGATGACCCCACTCCATTGCCTACTGCTGATTACCATGGAGGATATAAGTTTCACATAAGCTATAAATGTGGTTGTCTACAAACTGCTACATACTGTTTATCTGAATATTATGCTGCTTATTTTCAGAAGCAGGAGTTGAGTTCATAATCAATGATTAAAGTTTGCATTACCAATTCAACCTTCAACTAAAACCACAAAATTTTAAGATGCTTACTGAATTCTGTTTTGGAAAGAAAGTGTGGCAAAACAACTGAAAACATGCCTGGAAGCAGCTCATCAAAGAATATACTCAATATATATTTATACTGGTAACACTCAGGTTCAAATCCATGTAAGGTATTGCATTGTTATTTTATTTTTTTCAAATGTTCCCTTATATTGTCACATATTGTTGGGCAGCTAAAAGGAGAATGGTTTTGAAAATGGATCTCAGTATTGCTTGTCAAGAGTATGCTTCATGCATGATTAGAAAACATTTCAGTTTGAGTAATTACTTCTTAGCCTAAGATTCATTATAGCTTTTGGCAAAATGTGTCATTTTAAGATGATCAGTTAATTTATAAAACTATCTTGTTAAAAATAAGTATATTACTCATGGTTTTATAGCATGAGCTTTGAACTTGTCATAACTGATCTAGAACTATAAAACTTCCATCTTTTCTGAAAGAGAAGTTAGTTATAATTATTTATAAATTCATACTATTTCTGCTATTGCAAAGTCTTCCAGAAAACATTTCCAAAGAAACTGAATAACTGCAGCATTATGAGATGAAACATGAACTTTTGTTTAAATTTTCATTAGGTAAATACAAAATTTGATGAAAAGAAAAGGCATTTCTTCAAAAGAGGATTTTTTTCAATACTGAATTAGTAAATATTCAGCACTTAAAATGGAATCTTAGGCCTTGTGCTTAAGAATCCAATATGCTAAGATTGAAATCAAGACACAGAGAGTCAAGCCTAGTTTGTAGCAATATTAACAAAAGTCTTTAGTTGTGTTTCTACTTGTCAATCCAAATTTTAAATTTTTATTGAAAGTAATTTTTCAAATTTATAAAATATTAAAAAAATGCTTTGATGTAAAAATTATTTATAATTATCAAACCTTTTATCTTAAAATACTTTCATTAGTTAAGAAATATTCAAAGATATTTTATTTAAAACAAACAAAAAATAAATGTAAAATTTAAAAGAATACAAGACACTCTTCATTTAGATTTAATATTACAGTATTATGGAATTAGGTACAAATAGTAGCTGTTTATAACATCCGGAGAAACGTCAGATACATCAATATCATGGGGAATTCTTTTTGAAAAAAAGTAAAAGAAGAATGTACAATGATTACATGCCATTAAATATGATAAAGGTTTTTCTCTGTAAAGAAAAATAATCTCTAACAATATCAATTCCCTGTAATATTTTTTAGTTTGAAATAGAAATGAGGAAAATTGCAGTTATCAATTAACTTGCACAAAGGTGTAAAAGTTGTAAATGAAAAGAGAGAGAGACCAACATTTCATATGGGAAATGGGAACAATTTGTTTTATGCTCAGTGTTATCAAATTATTTGACAATTCTTTTCTACATTAACATGCCATCAGCTTTTGCAAAAATTTAACTGTAATGAAATTTAAGGCAGAAGTCCAAAAACAGAAATCCAAAGAATAAATTTAAATCAATTTTATTTTATACATTGCTATTCCATTAAAATTTTCTTGAGTAATGAATGAAATTTCATTCATCTTGGAAAGGCAAACTTTGGCATCTAGTATGACATATCACATCAGGGAAAGCATTTATTTAAATGCACATGCTATGCCAACAAGGATATAAATAAGGTCCTTAAAAAAAGCAAGTTTAAATGTTCAGTGACTCCAAGTAGTATCTGAAAAAGCAAATGAAAAACATCAATTTATTATCTGGTATTCATTATTTGAAGTAATATAGGAAATAATGTTTTTGGTTATATTATTCAGCTTTTGTTGCTTCAAGTGAAACTAGTACATTAATAGTTTGAAAATTACATCACCTGTTGAAATGGATGTGATGATTATTACATTTTTTATTTAACAATGTTATAATTTGACTTTAAATAAAGAATAATTTCTAGAAGCAATCAGTTTCCTACATGTAAAATATGTGGTTGCTAGGGCATATCATTAAATATTTTAATATACAAAAATATTTAATAATCACATTAACCTGAGTTCATTTAATTTTATAGTTACTAAATAATTAGGTTTGATTTGGTTGATTCGAAAGCTCCCAGTACTAAACATTTGCAATTATGGAAGCAGCTTTCAAGTTTACTCATCTCTCTCTAAGTACAAATCTGAGGAAGGATATACAAAGGTTTTAAAGTGGGTTCTTGATTGTGGAATCTGGACAACATATTTTTTTAATGATGCATTAGAATAGAAAAGACTTTCTAGGTAAGAAAAACAACTGATAATGTTGCTGTATCCTAATGTCTGTCCTCATGTTTCAAATATGTTGCAAGTAACCAGTCATGGATCTGGGATGATAAGTTTTTCTACATCTTGTGTCTTCTTCAGCTTTATCATTTCCACATTCACTTTATTCTATACAGCATCCCATGTCAGGGTATGTAACAAAATCAAGACATCAAAGAATTCATCAATTCTAAATTAACAATACATAGTTTAGCTGAAAGGCATTATAAGTTTAAGAAAAAGGCATAGAAAAAAAACCTTGATGACTGAATAATGATGACGTGGATTTATATAAATTAAATACATAATATTTGTATCAACCTAATATATAAGAAAAAAAATTCTGGAAACTGCTGCAAAACATTTGTGTGCTTACTTTTGGCTTGCTGACAATTCTAATTCTTTATTCATTTTTTCTTGTACTTCCTTATTGATGACATGGCCCATTGTATTCATCACCATTACACATTGCTGAAGAGAAAAAATAACTTATTTGAAAGTGATAAAATACAAAGATTTCAATTTCAAAATTCAAATGTACATTCAATTGAATATACAATTTATATATGGGTTCTTCAAGATCTGCACCATACACAAATAGATGTATAGCACTAGGTTATTTGGGATATTGGTTTAGGAGTGTTGTCCTTTGCCTTTGATATTCTCAGTCACCCTTCATTGGCACCCCCATCTCAGATCATAAGCATCTAGTGATTTATTGTGTACCCAACAAGTTTCAAAGATTCTTGGTAGGGCATGACTTTTCTATTTCTAATTCAAAGCAGTTCAAATTCCCTCATCAGAAATAATGAGCATATGCCAGAGTACAATAAAAGGAATTTGATTTCTTGGCAAATATACAGAAGAGTTAAAAACAAAATTAAAAAATAAAAAGAACATAAAACTTAAGTGACTTCTGTCATTGGGAGCTCACTCCAGTTTCCCCATCCAGCAAGTACAATACAATTAGTCCATTGTAAATGCTTATAAAAAAATACTTTAAGAGTATTTGCAAAAATAATTTTACAGTGATCTTTGAAAAATCTATACTTCAAAAATTACTTATGAGAATTAAAAATACATGAATGCAATATTTTATAATGTACCTGTTAAGTATTTAATAAGAAATAAGATTTAAGATCTTGTTTAATGTTTTGTGATAAAACTTACAAGAGCTTCATCTGCTTTCTTTTTTTCAATACAACTCATCAGCAACATCAACAGAGATGACTCACTGCAAAAGATGAATTAGGTGATTTAGGAGAACTTATGAAATAAGATCTGTTTCAAATTCATTTTTGGTTTGTAGCTCTTTGCTATCAATATTACAGTCTTTATTTCAATGGTCGTCATAATTTCAAAATTTCACTACAAAATTATTAAATAATGAAGAGACTCACCTGAAGCAGCCAGTCAATGCTTGGGGATTTTTATTGTATATTTTAAACAATTCCCTGAAAAAGTTTAAAACATACATGATGAAAAGAAAACTATCTAGCTACAATCAATATTATAAAGTTGATAATTAAAAAAGTATATTATATAAAATTTTGAATCCTGATAAAAATAAAGCTCATATCAGATTCAAGACTCATAACTGGAAAATCACATGAACCAATATCTTGTTTTTATTTTTGCTGTTACAACTGCTAAGCCTTAATCACTTGTAGACAAGACTAGAACAAAGAATATTTACTTTAGGATATAATATATAAAATCAAAACAAGAGAAGGAAATAAAATATCTTATATTTCTAAAGAAAATATCAAAAATTAAATGATAGGGAAATAAAAAAAATAATGATAAACAGTGAAAAACAAAAGAAAAAAAAAAAGCTTCCAGCCTTTTCAGTTATCAAAGTTATTTCTATTTTTTTTTTAAGAGAATGTTTTTTTGTTTATGTTCTCAATGATCTTTTGTTTGCTAATCAAAATGACCCAAAAGCTGGGTAATATAATTTTCTCTTTCAGCAGGAAAAGAAAAAAAAAATCTATTTTTTTCTGAGAACTGAATGGGACCCACTCTGTGATTTTCTTTGTGATGCCTCCTGAACTGATATCTTTAACTTTCCAATTGAGAATTATGCCACTGAGGTTTCTTCTTTGGTCAAAACCAGCAATGGGCACTTTCATCCTTTCTTGAAAATTCCAGGTGAAACCTTAATTTTCTCTATGGTTCACACCAGCATGCTCAGCTGCTATAGCACACAGGAACAAATATTTTCAGCTATACCAGTGTGACAGCTCTCATCACAACAGGTGCTATTTGTTGCTGATCACAATAAATGTAAATGAGCCCTTGAAGGGGCTAAGTTCCTGTCTGCCAACGGAATGAGGCACCACATCTAACAACGTTGGCTCATGTGATTACTGATGGCTCTGTAATAGGGTATTAAATAAGTGTAAGGTCTCTATTCCTCTCCTCTTCAATCAGTTTGAGTTGTTAACATTCTTTGTTGATAAAACTGTAAATTCTCTTTAAACTCTACTCTCATCTGGAGTATCCCTGTCTAACTTCCCACTTAGAACTGAGTCTCTGTTGAGTGATATGAACATATAACCCCCTTCTATGGTTTCTGCTATTACCTCTGACTTAGATCCCCATAAAGCATATGTACCCAATGGTATCCCTGTAATAGTAATTAAGAAATGTGCTCCTGAACTGGATCTTGTTCTCTCTAAACTGTATAATAAATGCCTTGGTACCTCCTGCTTTCCTACATGCTGGAAGTCGTCATCTATTCTTCCAGTTTATAAGAACTCTGGTGAAATGTCTGACCCTTCCAAATATCAGCCTATTAGCCTTCTACCTCTTTTTGGGAAACTTTTAGAGGCCCTAATCAATGTTGAATTGGTTCATCAGCTCTCATCACAGGGCCTTCTTTCTGACAAGCAATATGGCTTTTGTTTCTATAAGTCAGCTACTGAGGGTAATTATGGAAAGAGTCTATCATGCTCTAGATAAAAACCGTGAAGCTGTAGTATTGCCATCTCAAAAGCCTTTGACAGGGTTTTGGCATAGAGGTCTTCTCCATAAGCTGTAAAGTTACGGTGTCTCTGGACACATTTTTGAACTGATCCAAGGTTATCCTGAATGGCCACTCATCTAGATCCTTTCATACTAATGCTCCATCCTTGGTCCTACCCTGGTTTGAATTTTCTTAACTTTGTATCTATGCTGATGACACAACCATTTACTCCTGCCTTGATGGTAAGTCTGATCAGTCCAACATGGTCAAATTGGCAGCCAATGCTCAAAATGACCTCAAATTAACTGGGGCAAAAGATGGCTTGTTAATTTTAATGTCTCCAAAACTAAACTTCTCACCATTAATTATCTGATAGACCTGTCTCTGCCTTCCATCAGCATGGCTGATGATAACCTCCAGGAAATTGAATTGTTGTGCCTTCTCAGACTAATATTCTCAGCTGACAGGAAGTGGAAAGACCATATTGAATCCATTGCTAGGTCAGCTAATTGAATCATATTGAATCCATTGCTAAGGTCAGCACTGTGTTGTGCAAGACAATTTTTCTTACATATATATAAGTCTACCATTTGTCCAGGTGTAGAATATTGTTACCTCGTATGGTCTGGTGCCCGTTATTTAACTTCAGCTTCTTGATAAAATCCAAAGAAGAATCAGCAATATTATTGATCTTAATCTGGTGGCTTGGCTTCATTTACTTTCCCACTGATATAAGGTTGCCTCTCTGTGTCTTCTATAAATACTTTCATGGTAATTGTCTGGATGAGGTCTTCGCTATGGTACTTAGACTGTTTGAATTTAAGTACTAGACTGGTGTTGTGATCTCATCAATTTACATTTACATCTAGCTGGCTAGATGTAACCATAAATTCTATGCTAACAGTTTCTTTTCTCACACTTCAAGCTTGTCAAACTCCTTTCCAGCCAACTTTAATCTGCAAAAATTTAAATACAATGTCAATTGCTATCTACTGCTACCCTCCTGATTACTCTTTCCTCTCATTATTCATGTTTCAGTTCCTAATTCCTCCACACCCTGCAATCCCTTGTTATCTTAGTGGATTTACTGCCATAAATGGGGTGATACCAAAAAAGAATGAAATGCAGAAAATAACAATTCCTACCAGGCTTGATCAAAGCGCTTTGCCTTTAGGGAAATGACAATCAAATCTCCAAGAATGGTGCAAGTGAGCCTGAAAAAAAAAAAAAATCATTGGTTAAAATAATAATTAAAGTGATAAATCTCTCTTTCAGATTAATATAGTGTAATGCCTAAGAAATAAGTTATATTTGGATGCATAATGCATCAGTGACTCTATATTGTGCACATGCATATTCTGTTTGATTTATTCAGTTAAGCAGGATTCTTCTTTCAAAGAGAAGAACCATTTAAGAATTTCAGTCATTATAAATTATCAATGAGACAAAAACCACATCTGAAAAATAAAGCAAAATGTTATTTACTATTTTCAAGTGCATATGTGCTCCATACACAGCCTTCACTCATGTGTAGCTAAAAATAGCCTACAGATGGCTCCCAAAAGTTCCTACCATATATCGGTATAATTGATTTGGATGTATACTGGCCTTATGTAATGATTAAAATAAAATGCAAAGTGTGTTGATAAATACAAAATAAATCTTTATATACACAATATAATAATAACTAGCAGTAGAGCCCGGCGTTGCCCGGGGATGTAACAGTAAGAGATAGATCAAGTATCGACCATCATAAAGACTGAAAAATTAAATTGACAAAGATTATTGTTTAAGGTTGACGGACATGCATGTCTTAATTATTTTTTTTTTTTTTTTTTTTACGAATTGGTCAAACCCAAATTCAAACAAAAACATTGTTTACAACCGTTATGAGCCTATCGATTGGTGAATAGAATTTTATTATAAACAATTGTCTTGTAAATGGAATTTTTAAAGCATTCTGAATGTAAATAAAGAAAAAAAAGTGTGCAAGACAATAAGAAATACTACCTGCCGAAAAAAAAAAAAAAGTGGATGTTTGTTTTATCGGCTGAAAAATGTAAGAAATCCGATCCCATATATAAAGGAACACACACACACACACACACAAACAACCTGGGTTTTTAACCTAAGTCATTCCACGGAATCGCTAAAACATAGAGCATAGTCTGATGAAAAAAAGACGCCAAAGTTTATGAAAACAAAATTTTATCGTCAAAATGCTTATTTTTTTATGAAGAGGATAGACTAAATTTTTTTTTAATTATTTTAAAAAATTTTTCCATCTTTTAGAATATTCTAAATTTTGATTTAAAAACCTTGTTTCTCTTTTGTCGCAACAAGGGTAGTAAATAACATAGATAATTTTTAGCGCGTTTTTTTTTTATTTACACACATTAATTTGGAAAATCTTGCAAAAATAAAAATAATTGTCAGATGTTAATGAAACTTTCAGAAACTATTCACAGATGATCGAAATTATTATAAATATTTTTTTTTTTATTAAAGTCATGGCAGAAATTTTTTTTTATATTTATTAACACCCCATAACTAATTTTATGAAAAACTCTAGAAATTGAGACCATCGGTTTTAGTGATTACAATAGTTAAAGGCTTTGAAGAATGCAAATCATGTTTTTTTTTTTTTTTTTTTTTTTGGCCAACGTACCTGAAAATCAGCTGTGAATTGTAACATACAAAACTCAATAAAACAAATATATTATTTAGTTTCAAATGCTTTTATTTGTTTTAATTTGTTTTTATGAATATGGACAATATTTTCTGAAAGCAAAAAATTTTTTCAATGAAAATTGAATTTTTAATACAATTATTTCTTATTTCTTTAATTTTAAAAAGATTTTTAAAAAATTTTTAAATTGAATTTTTAAAAATATTTTAACATTAGTTAAAAGCAACATCAACCTTTCAAAATGTCCGTGTGAGATTGTCATTGTCTAGCGCTTTGAAAATTGTATAATTTGGACCAATCAGATTAGCCATGGTAATTAAGAAATGTAATTTTTTGTGTTTATAGTCGGACAGTAATTATCAAGTACGGAAGACCAACCAGAATACAATTTAGTTGCATTATTTGAGTTCAGCATTGTTCTCCGCTGTTAAGCCCTTTACTTTTGCGAAACACGTATGGAGAAGTTAATTTGAGTTTTCAATTTCAACTGAGAAGGGTACCTACAAGTAACAGTATCATCTTATGAAATTTAACTACTGCTAAACTTTAATTTATATGATCTTTTTTTTATATTAATCTCAGTTATGACATTTTTCCATAAATGAAATATCAAAATTAATAATAAAATGAATGGAAATACAAATAACACAGTAAAATGTAATAAATGTACATAAAATTATATTATTTTATGTACACTTCTGATAAAATTTCATAAGAAAGGTACCTAAATTAATTAGATACCTTTTTCTTATGAAATTTAATCTCACTATTAACAGTCTTATTTTTTAATTTCTTTATATTTTCCATAAAGCATCGTAAACGTAAAAATGAAAGCTAAGTACAAAAAAAAAAAAAAAAAAAAAAAAAAAAATTAGAGAGCGCTGAAAATTTTTCCTTAAAAGTAACAAGGTAAATAATTTGTTCACTTAAATAATTTCACTTCCTTCCATCCGTAGAAAGAATTCTCCTCCCGTAAGTTATCTAAACGTCATGAATGTGCCTTTCGTCAATCGTCAAGCGACGCGAAAGGTTATGACCTGCTTTGTTTTATTTTCAAATTACATTTTTCGGCGCAGAAGCTAAGTTAAGCTTGGTTCAAAATATTTTAAATAAACAGTATAATATCTGTTTTTATTAAAATCAGTTTTGAAAAAATGATAATTTTTTTTTTAAAAGAATATCAAAGTAAGATTTTAATCTTTTTTTTATCAAATCGAAAAAAAATGATTGAAAAATGATTATCTGTTTTTTTTTTTTTTGAAAAAAAAAAAAAAATATTTTTAACGAAAATTTCAGACGTGCTAGGAACGATTAAAAATAAAAAAAAATACCCCAAAAAATACTTTGATCTTTCCTCTTTAATAATAATATGAACATTAGACGATAAAAATTTTGTTTTCGTCAAGTTCAGCATCTTTTTTTTCATCATGCTATGCTCTTTTGTTTACATTTTCGTGGGTGAGTTGTCCCCTTTCATTTCTCAAGATGTGTCTTAATCGTGTTTTCAAATTGATTTTATTAAAAAACAACTGTGTTTTTTCCCATTTTCGTCCCGTTAGAACCACCACAAAAGGTAATTTTATGTAGTCCTGTGAAGTTTTGTTGAAAAATCTAAAAAATAAAAAAATGTATATAAATTCCAGACACAACATAAAAAAACGTTACAATAACACACACACACAACCTGCGTTTTATAATAAGTAAGATAATAGCTTCAGGTGGAAGTTTCAATAATTCAAGTGTAAAAGTCCAGGTACATAAGTGGAAATAGAGAGAGAGTCCAAGGGGGAAGTAAACAAATATAAGTATATGTATGTATGTAGTAGCTGCTGCTTGACAATGTGAAGGAAGGTATGTTTGTTTACAATATAGCAAGGACAAGTGTAGTCATCTAATGTCACCAGCTAGTCATGCAAATGTATTTCATTTCTGGGTATGTTACAATGAGAATGGATAAAATAAATTTATTGACTAATTTTGGTTGATTTTCCATCTGGTTATATACACATCTACAGATCCACCTCAAAAAGTGTGCTCTGCTTCTAATTGCTTGTGAAAGCTTTATTAAGAAAGGAGAAGAGTAAAGAAATTATGGTCACAGTAAACAGCTGATTAGTATTAGGGACAGTTGACTGGTTTTTGTTCCACTCTCAAGTTTCATTATTTATCACTTTAAGTGTCAGTGCAAAGCTGATTACATAACAACCCAGCAATTAGAGAAGAGATTTGCCCAATATATACCAGCATGCATTAGGAAAGATCAACTTGAAAATCTGCATTAAATGTCCCATTACATCCTCAAAGAACATTGGCGATGTGCATCAACCTTCTATGCGGATATGTTTTGTGTTGAGTAGATCATGTTTGAAATTTCATCAGAAAATTCTTGAGACAATTTTTATTAAATCAAGACAGCTTTCTTTATGTAAACAATGACTTGACCTTTTTATAGCATGTGTGTCAATCAATTTATATATTGTATAGCATTTCTTATTCATATTTACCCTTCCCCACTTTCCTTTAGTCATTGTGCACAATATTTTATTCCTAAATCAAGATCTAATGAGAAAAGAACTAAAACTAGTCAACTGCTTATAATTTTTCTATTTTTTTTTTTGTCATTTACTGTGGCTGTATTTTCTTTTGTTCAGTTTCCTCTTCGCCTTTTTTAATGTCTGATTTTATATAATTGATGAAACCTGTCTAAAAACATGCATGATGCCTTTATATATTTCATAAAGCAAAAAATTTAAATTGTTTTTGCATTTTAATCACATCCAATTTGACTAATTTAAGAAGTTTACCTGTTATTTCATTTTAACACACATTTTACATCTTTTAGTTATAAAATGAAAAATTTTGAAAACATTTTACAATTTGCAAAGATAATGAAAAATGCACAAATGTTCTTTCAAAAAAGAAAATTATATAAACTCAATTACAATTTTTAGCAGAAAGATTGATTTTTTTTTTTACTTCAATCGTCACTCTTATAACTCTTACATAACAAAATGTAAATCATGAAATTTAAAATCACTTAACTCCCAATCAATCTGCTCTTCCCATGATCAGCTTTTTTCACTCCCTTTACTTGTTCACTGCCACTGACTTTATATGTGTGTTCAAAGGCAGGTACAGTAATTCGTAGGTAGCACATCCAGATTATTTGATCAACACCATAGGCAGTACATCTGGGCTATTCCATCAACTGTTTTCTGTTATAAATGATGGAATGAATCTGCCTCAATTTTTCTTTGTACCATTGAGCCAATGGCATCAGCAAGTGCATACACTCAGCCTTTTTGAAGGTAAGTGGATTTCCTCTGCACATTTAGTTACTTGGATATTTTCAATTAAGATATCAAAATGTGAAAGCAATTTGTCAAATTCTATTTAACACACATTTTTTTTTTATCATTATCAGAATTATTTTTGCCCTAAATCAACTTTTCTATTAAAATGTACAATAGAATTATAAATGAATAATCATTGCCCCTTGCAGATTTGCCTTTGAGTACAATTTCATGAAAATTATTTCAACACAAAATCTAAAAGTAAAAATACCAAAAAAATGTCCGACTTACAGAAATAATGGCTGCTTGTCTGAAACACTGTCCTCCAACCATTGCTCAGCAATTTTTGAAGCAATGTCAGCAAATCTCTCCACAAGCTGTAATTTTACCAAAGAAATATTGAAACAAAGCTATTACATTAAATTGCAACTTTTGTAGGATATGAAAATCACACAGGACTTTTTTTCTAACACATTCATGTTATAATAAAGAAAGTAGAAGGGTGATGTCAGCAATTATAGTACTCAAATAGTTGACTCAACATAATAGTTGATAAAGATGTTTGCTAGATGACCATAACAGGTGGTTTATGTAAATCAACTATATCCTTACTATGATGACAAAAACCAACTGGTGAGAAACAAACAGTTGAAATAGGTAAAAGCCATGACTCATTTCTCTTTTTTCATTTTACTTAGAAGAAAAAAATCATGGCTGTTGAGAAAAGCTGATATAAAATTAGCATGAAAACTATTTTTTATTGTAATAATTTGTAGAACTTAACACTATTATTAGTATCACTTCTCCTTGCACTGTATAGGGTGGCTCCCTCAGGTCATTTTCATTGTTTTGCAAGGAAATGGCAATACAACTGTGAAATTCAAGCATATTAGAGTTGCTTGAAGTGCTTGGTCCAACCCACTTTCTAAAATTTTAATGGCCAACCATCATAATATTAATTTTGGGAAGTGGATTAAGGTGAGAACTTCTCAGCATTCTTGTAAATCTTATTTGAAAAATTAGAAAACATAAATATTTTATGTAGAAAATATTGATTTTTTTTTATTTTTTAAGTTTCATATTTGTAAAATATTTTTACTACTTTAAGAAACTTAAAACAGAAATTTGTAAACAAATTTATATAACTTTTTATAAATCAGTGCAGCTTATTTTATTTTTAAATTTATTCCTCAATCATTAAGAAAAGGTAAATTTTAATGAGATCAAAACATTTTTACATTGTGCATTCTGTTTAATAGTGAACGTTTTTATGTCTAAATCAATTTATAGAAAAAATGAATTTAGGTAATATGCAAATTAATTTATAAATTAAAGAAAAAGATAATATTTAGAACATATGAAAACCTTACCTCAGATCGGTTTTCCTTAGCCATCAACTGAAAAATGCTGTTAAGAATATCTTCTCGCTTGGTAAATTCAAACAGAATCAAATCTAGAATTTGAAGATGTTAGAAGAGAGAAAAACAACAACAAAATAAAAAACAGATAATATATACAATTTATCAGACATTCTCTGAATTGACAAAATAGATTAAACTATTTATAGTCTAATCTATTTTGTCAAGTTTGTAAAATTGAATAGTAAGAAATAAATAAGAAATTTACAATTAAAATTTTTCATAATATACTACCAGAATATAACTTACAATATATATATAAAACATTTACAAATACATTATTAGTCAAAAGCTTAGAATAGGTGCATGAATAAGTTCTTTCATTATATTAATGAAAGTTATTTTCTCAATGATGAATTAATATCTCTATAAAACAGATATGCATTCCAACTGTGTTAATTTTGTTTATGTTTGTGTGCACAGATTATTAAAATATTATAAAATTTGGTATATTATTTATGCAATGGCTAAGTTTCTAAAGCAAACACTTGATAAATTGGATTCTTTTTTAAAGAAAAATCGTTTTGTAAAAAAGAATAAAAATCATTAAAAATTCAATCTTAATGGTTAATGTTTTTTTAAAGTGATTTTTCATTTATTTTTGCTTTCTTAATAGAAACTGGAGCTGATCAGATTGTGGGAGTAGGTAAACAGGTACAAGACCAAATTCATAGAAAACCCTCATAAGGATAAAAACTAACACTCTCACCTTAAGTTAATCTGAATTTCTTAGAGAAAGCATAGTCATTATTAATTTTCTTTAATTCATTTTTATTTTCATTGCAGTTTTAAGCAAACAGCATAGAGTGGAAAATGTGGAATGTAAAAAAATGACCTGAAAGTTGAAAAAAAAAAAAAGAAGAAGAAAAAAGAAGATAACCCAGTCAAAGTTTAATAGAATGTTAACCAATGACTCTTAGCAAAATCTAAATACAAAAATTTATTTATACATTTCATAGAATGGAAATTCATTTTTACATTGAAGTTTACATTGAAGTTTACATTGAATAAACTAACCTGACCAGATCCTTGGAAGATGTTCTTGTCCATCATGCAGTTCAATAGCCTGGAGTAAGTCTCAAAATCTATATATTATTTGGTGTCCTACCAAAAAGGTATAAGTTTAAAAAAAATAAACATTGTGGAAGGGGAACATCCTCTTAGAAAGGTAAATTATAAATCAATGTATGACCTTGTGCCACACTTGCACGAATTTACAGAACGTGCCATATTTGCATAAAAATGTAAGACAAATAGAGAGAGAGACATGTAATAAAAATGATCTCATGCCAGACTTTCATGAGAGTACAAAGATAACAAAGTACATTTAAACAAATGAAAACAAAAAAAAAAGAACTTATGTCATCATAAAAGTTCTTTTTCACTAATGTCTCTTATATCTACTCATTTTTTTCTTTCTCTTTTTTTCTATTTCATTTTGTATTAGAAGCGTCTCTTTCTGAGGTCTTTTCTTTCTCTTTCTTTTCGTCTTGTCTAGGGGCTTGAGTTCGGTTCGAAGAGGGACTTTTTCTTTTTTTCACATAACCAACCAAAACTTTCACATTTATAGCAAACACATCCATCTATTCCATTCAAAGATGGACTCACTTTCACATACCATCACAAGACTTTTGCATTTATAGCAAATGTGCCCTTCCAGCCAGAAGGCCTGGACAGAACTGACTTTTTCGCAGATGTGTTCATCTGGCATGAAGGCCTAGACAGGACTTTTGCATTTTTTGCAGACACGTCCGTCCGGCTAAATCATGCTGTCAACATGTGACCAAAAGAGAAAGAAAATGTACATTCTGGTTAATCTCTGTCGACACTTAATTCTACCTTATCTCTTTAGGTTTCCTATTTTTACGTTTTCTGAAAGTACTGTGCTCTTTATTTTAGAATGCTTCTAAAATATAAGCATTGATACAGCTTTTATAATAAATTTAGGTGGGGGTTCGTAACACAATGTATCACTGCAGCTGAGAGACGTATTTCACAAAATAGTTAGATATACACAAATTTAACAGATAAACTGGTAAACCACTGTTGTAAACTAGTACAAATTTCTATCTCATAAAAACAACTTAAAGAAAAATGTTGGCGTACAACCTTGTGGTTTTGAATTAAAAGCTATGAGTGAATAGTCTGAAACAACAATACAAAATGTACCTCAAACAAAAAAAAAAAAAACAGATTATATGTGAAAAAAACCTACAACAATGAAGTGCACTTACATTAGGAGTAAATTTGTCATAAAATTCCATTATTTTTTCCATAGTCTCAAACTGGCACAAAAGTCGAAAGAAGAAAGAACTGAAAAGGAAAAAAAATTTAGTCAGACACCAATAAGAATATACAGACACTAATTAGGGGTAAAAAATAAAATAAAACTTGCTTTTCTTAAAGAATCATAACTAAGAAATAATGCTATGATAGGAGTAACAAAGTTTGTTCATATTTTTAAATGTATCTACTTTTTATCCATTACTTTTTAATATAAAAATATCATTGTGTTAAAAATCTTAATATTAATTTTTTAAGAGAAGAAGGGCAATAATTATATTGAAAATAAATGTGTGTAGCATTTTCCTCAATTCTATAACTGAAATCGTTTCAGAATTTTTAAAAGGAAGTAAATGTGTCTAACCAATTTATAAAACAACCCAGACAATATAGTCCCTTATAGTATGAAATAATTTTTTTGTGATTTTTTGAAGATGTAAAGTAGTAAAGACTATTCTTACTGAGAAACAAAAGAAATGTTCATTGACATTTTTATTTACCCACCAAATAATGTTTACTGAATTACACATCTTTAAAGTATACTTAAAACAATTCTGTGACTCATTCAGCAAAGAGAGCTTTTATGTTGTCAGCACATTGGAAAAAGATGTGCTGTCTTCATTTGCCAAATAAAACACTAAAATTTAATGTTACAATAATTAAAATAGCATAAGAGAAAATTAATAACTTTCATAAAATAGTCTATAGTGAGATTTCTGTCAGCAAAATATTTAAGAGAAACAGAAACTATTTTAAATTTTATTATTTATTTTTATACCAGGGCTGAACAAGGTCTTTAGTGTTATAGAACATGATTGGTCTAGGAGATGAATAACTCTTACACGAAAAGCCTGAGGTCTATTGTCTGCGGCATTTATTTGCACCGACTGAGTGTATCAATAGTTCAAAAAAAAGGGTGTATGGTTCTGCACAAGCCTTCACCACTTTAATCAAATCACTTGTGTGGGTTTTCTGGCAGTTTACCTTGAGTTGTTCATTCTTATCCACATATCTAACAGTGATCTCATCCCACAGTCTCTTGTAAATCACTAGCGGGTCTTAAGTGCCTCTTAAGATTATCACACAAAATTTCATAATTGAATCAATTAAGTTGTCAGATCCTCACAGGAAGTCTGTTATGTATATATATATATATATATATATATATATATATATATATATATAGTATTATAGTTATATTACATCGGGCACTATTTTATTAGTGCCAGCACTCAATATGTAGTGTGTGTGTGTGTGTGTGTGCATGGCTTATTTACCTCTTTCAGCTACATTATAAAGTCAATGTACTTTAGTTTATTGCAGAGAATTGATTTTAGCCATTTTTAAGTTTCTTAAATTAAGAAATGTATTACAGTTTAAGATAGATGTATGTATGTTGAAGATTTTTGCAGTCAACATGTATTTTAGAACTTATCTTTGCCTAAGGAAAAATTAAGACCCGCTAGTGATTTACAAAGGAGGCTGCATATGGAGCAAAAAAAATTTTAGAACTTATCTTTGCCACAGGAAAATTTTGTGCAATCTTGTTTTGCAAATTTTTGCATTCTGTGCTATTTTTATTATTTTCAGGTCATTGTAATAAATGTAAATTTCTTTCAAATTTCACATCAGAGTATGACTCTTGTTTTTTTTTTGTTTGCTCCATTCATAATACTCTTCTCTTCCCACCCAAAATTCTTTTAAATTTTATGTCCATAATTCTAAACTTAATTTGCTTATGTCATGTACAATTTACTTGATGAGATGATTATTTAAATTCATATAAAGTCATATTTATAAGAAAAGTTAATTCCACTTGTTTAATTTCAAATTAATTCTTTTCTTAAAATAAAATATTTCCAAGCATAATGTAAAAATTTGATATGCTTATTCCACACAGTAATAAGAAGACCCACTAAAACCCAACAGGTTCATATTTGATAGTAATTTAAATTTCAGGATATTTGATAACAGTTCAGTTTTTGTGTGAATTTACATGGAGTACATGTTAGACACTATCTTAACTACTGTATTCAATAGCATATATGTGGCAGGGGCGATATCACTCCTGAAATAATAACGATAATAAACGAGGATATGCTGTAAAACAGAAAAAACCAAGTGAAGAGAGGTGTTTTCAAATAACCAAAATGATAATATGCCGTAAAGACTTTGAAATGTAAATGTTACAGAAAGTTAACTTAGAACACGAAATACAATCTTTGTAAGTGTACAAAGGATATCAGATTACTAATAGAAAATTACTGAAACAATAATAATTTAGAACTTTTAAACAAAAAATGGATTTTGATACTATAAAGATCAAAGTTGAAATTAAGGATGTTTTGATCTAGAATTTATTTTTAAAACATGAATCTCTGTAGTTTACAAAGAGCAGCAGAATAATTAATAGTGAGGTGATAAACAATAGCATCTTGTTGTGAACATTGGAAACCAATCGGTGAAAAAGTAAATTGTTTATTCTTGGAGGAATGAAGTTGTACTTTGGTAGTATGTTAGAACATTTGCATTAGAAAAACAGACACGTCACCAGTCAGGGACATGTGAGGGGTTCTCTTAATAAAGAGTTGAGCTAACTGGAGGAGACCTAGATTTTTGGGTTCATCTGTCTTCGAATGCAGTTGAACTGAGTGGAGACATGTCAGATTGAAAAAGAAGCATCCGCTGTGTGTTGCTGAAGCAAAATACCGCTGCTAACATCTAAGTACCGCTACTTCTGCTATTATTACTACTGAGAATGGGAACATTGAAGGTTGTAGTAGTTGTGCTAAGAACAGATCAAAAAGGGTTAAAACAAAGAATTATTCGAAGTATTGTTATTGTTCAAGAAACATTCAACCTTGTGCAACAAGAATTATTTTCTTGTGTGTGCTTGCTTATATATATATATATATATATATATATATATATAAAAAAAAAACAACTTTTGTCCCTTCAAAATCGAATCGACTTGGTTATATTTATTTTTTCTGTTAACTCGATTTTCACCCAACAAACACTCAGGTGGACCAACAAAGAGCTTCCAGATTTCTATGATCTGATGACCACTCTCCAGGATCAAAACAATGACAATGTGGCTGGAGGGTGGCTTCAAATTGATATTGGGAACTGAAGACTTGTGTCTAACCTACCATACTGGACCAATGGCTAGTCTTGTGGAGTGCGTGGGTCCAGTGGGGTGAGGATACATGGTTACATATAAACAAGTCACTGCATCACAAACATTAGATTTCATAAATTTGTTCAAACCCAGTTCAAACAAGTTGTTTTGAATGGATCAAATAATAGTATGGATGCAGTTCAGGTAATATTTGATGCACCATCCAACTATGTTTCCCAGTGGAAATGGTGCAGGAGTGGGGAGAAGTTTTACATGCTGTCAAAGTTAATATACTTACTAATAAATCCCTTCTTTAAAAGCATCTCCAAGCAGTTTGTAGTTTGTCCCTCTGTTGAGCAGATTGTCAATCTCGTAGGCTAATGCTGGATCTTTAATGTGCACAAAACACTGCAAAATATTTAATTAAAAAAAAATCACACACATAATTTTATGGTACTGTCATTGTATATTTTATTGGTTATATTAATTTATTTCAAAATAAAACCAAAGATATTTCTAGTGCAGAATTTTTAACATCTTGATATTCATACAGAATTTTAACTCAGATAAAAGTAGAGGTAAAAAAAACTGATAAAAAATGTTTATACAAAATAATGTATGAAAACTGTAAAAAAAAATATTGTATCAATGACATTCTAAGATTATGTCCGTTGTAAGTAAGAATTGTTTTCCACTTTACTGCTCAGAGGACAAATATATATAGCTTAAAAAAAAAAATTCATAATTCACTTCAGAAATTTACAGCTGAGATTTAATATGCCAAAAATAATACTTACTTTAGCCATAGCATTAGAAAAGAATTCCACTAAAATAAAAGAACATGAAAATTTGTAAGTTGATTTCAACAGTAAAATGATTTATTAAATTTTGAAAAATAATCCTTCAAATACTTCTTGCAAAGGAAAGAAAAGTAAATGATTAATATAAAAAGTCTTTTGTGATACAGTCTGAAATATGCTATCTCAATAGTAGTGATATCAATGCATATTCATTTATAACAATTTTTTGCAGTGTTAAAATGTTTTATTTCTTGTAATTTTCTTTTATATCAAACAATGAAAAATTCATAGAAGTTAAAAGGTAAGGAAAGATAGTCTAGATATACTGGCATAAACAAGTATATATATATATATATATATATATATATATATATATATATATTTACATTCTGTAACTATAGATTGTTTACTATAATCATGAAGAATGACAATCATTCTAAACAATTTCTAAATAAAGTTCAATCAAAGTCACTTGTAAAGTTTGAGATTAAAGAAAACTGAATATGTCATGACTAAGTGACAATTTGCACTGGATAGAAAAATTAAAGTTAACCAAATCATAAAAATATATTGCTTATATTAATAACTTACCATCAAGTGGATAGCGTAGAGTGAATTCTTTGTCTTTTAGGTATTTAATGATTTCATAAATTATTAGTGACTCACTATCTAGATGTAAAAAGGAAAAAGAATGAAGATTCATAAAATTATTTTTACTATTAATATTGAAAGGGTTTTGTATTGCTAAAATGGAAAATAATCTGGCAAATGTAAAAAAGATGAAGTATAATAGTTTAGCTATTATGCTAAGTTAATCTATTATGGCTGATGGTTCAAATTTTAAAGGTAAAAAATTTTATGAATTTAACATCATATCTGAGGAACTTAAACAGGGTAAATATAGATAAAACTAGCAGTAGAGCCCGGCGTTGCCCGGGGATGTATTTCATTCAAAATTTATAATTTACATTGATTTTGTTTTTTTAAACATATATTTTGGTCAATATTTTATACTTAGATATTTAATTTATATATATATATGGAAATTATCATCTATTTGCTAGAGTAGAAATTATTTAATGAGAAAGAAATAATAAAATAAATACTTTCTAATGGGTAGAAGATATTCAACACTGCACTCCAAATGCCAAGGTTAGGTTCTGTAAAAAGAAAAAAGAAAAAAAAAGGCTATCTTTTTTAACATGTTTATGAAGAATATATGCCTGTATAAATATATATTGAAGCATTCTATTCTTTTAAAGATTTTGATCATAAAGATATCAAATTCTACAATCATGAAGAATGTGTGGTCTACATTAAAGTTTTAATTATAATACCAGTATTCTTCATTTTGATGCTAACCAATTACAGACAAAATGTTTCAACAACCAAGAAATTTTTAATGCAAAAAAATCAATTTTCATGGATATTTAGGTGAATGTAGCTAAACAAAAATTCACTTTTTCAATTGTGAAAGAATTATGCCTACCATAAGATAAGGCACTATTTTGTTAAACACCAAATTAGAATCAAATTTAATAACAATGGTTTGCAATATAAACTATTAGTGGATAAATATTATAAAAGCAATCCATTCTACTCACCAATTTCACATTTCTTCATCTCATTGAGGATCAAGTGTGCAATCTCTTTGCACTTACGGAAACGAGTCATCCGAGACAGACTAAAAAATACAGCGTTAAATGTACCCAAAGTTGGACTTATTCCAAATTTTTCCATATCTTTAAGTAATTGCTGAAACAGAAAAAATATAGAAATAGATATAATAGGTAATTTAAAAGAAATTTTTAATTATTTAAAAATACAAATTTTGATCATTTAACACTTACAACTATTTTGTTCCACTTTTCTATATAGGTTTCCTCAGAAAATGCAGCAACTTGCAACAGGCTATTGAATGTATGTAAAGTCACTGAAATAATATCAGGAAAAAATACGAGATAATCTTCTGCAGTTGTTTTAACCAGTTCAGTAGAAATTTAAGTTGCACTCTCTCTTATACAGATTTTATTTTGCTTTTTAATGATAAATATAGTATAAAATGTAAATATATATTATTTTCAAATGTTGGTAAGAATTAATCACAATATTTGAATTTTACCATAAAAATGTGCTTGCTTTCAGTTTTTCTATAGACAGAATTCTGATAAACAATATTTAATATCACAAATACTATTACTATTTTAACAATGTAATATTTGTACTATTTCTTTAAAAAAAAAAAAATACATACCAGGAATCTTGTTATCAATCATTTCATGGTACATTTCAAAAGCTTTATCTGTTTGTAGAAACTGAAAAAGAAAATGACAAAAAAAAAAGCTTGTCAGTTATGCACTTCTACAGAGGAAAAATATGGCCAAAATAAGCTTTAGTAAGTAAAACGTATTGAAAGAGAGTGCAATTAAAGGCAACTTTGGTTTCATTATGATTTTGAATAACTTTTAAAAATATTTAAAAAAAATTGAAACATTCAAGTAGAGACACAGGATTCAAGAGCAAATCTCTCATGAACTTTATGAATGTTTAAAAACTATTTCTGAATTGTTTCAAATCATCAAAAAAGATAAGGTTTTATTGCAAATTTCTTCATATTAATAGAAGTCACTTTCCATCATATTTAATTAGATTAAAATTAAGGGCATTAATCAGCAAATATTTTGCCCGTTTTTGTAATGTGACATTTGATTGTAAAATTGAATAAAAATTCAAGTCATTATGTTCTTTTAATGATTTTTCTTTATGAAAATTTTCAATAACTCAAAGCTTAAAAGAAAAAGCTTAAAAAATCTAAACAAATAACCAAGTATGACAGGAAGTCACCAGTGTTAGTTCATGGAAAACATATTTGGGAAGTATTAGGCAATGAATAATAAAGAGACTGCTGATGGGAAAAAGTTAGATTGATTAGACGTTAAAACAATAAATGCTTCAGAAGCCATAAATGAAATCCAGGAAAATCATCAGTTAGGACTGAAAACTGGATAAGCTAAGTAAGATTGAATAAAATCCAGAATAACTGGATTTTATTTACTTCCTCTTTCACACTACCAGTCTAAGCAGGATATGAATAATGTTTTGTTAATAAGATTTGAAGTTGGGACCAAATGAAATCATGTTTATATTTCATACTATTCAATCAATTTACATTATAAGAGGTAAAGGTGCTTTTAACTTACTTGTCAGAGAGAGTGTTCATGTGATTCTAATAGAAAATTAAATTAATTACCCAAATCAGGTGATTCATTAATGTCAGAATTCCAGTGGAATTCTTATATATCGGTAGTTGGACCACTGAAAAGTTCATTTATTTTAGTAAGGAAGAAAATATTTGTATCCATAATGTTACAAGTTCTTGTAACTTCAAATGTATAGTTGCACAAAACTTTACCTTTGCCCTTCCACACACCAAAGCATTGTAAGCTTTTGGAGTTTTCTCTTCTAAGCTTTCAAAAACACATTCAGCAACATTGTCATTTCTGAAAAAAAAATTTAAAAAATGATACAATATTGATATAAGAATGAAAATATAGTCAATTATCGGCATTTTCGTGAAATTTTGCATCACTAAGCCATCTGATTTAATTACTTCACTTACCTTTTATTTTTGATCTTGAATTATTCTACTGTACTCTTTAACTACTACTTTTTATGTAGTGTAAATCCCTTCATGGTGTAGGAGATTACAGCTAGCTCTTAGCAACTCCTTTCCATTCTGTTATGGTATAAAAGATAGGTTATTCATTGTTTTCCCTGTCCCTCTTCAATATATTCTGTGTAGGTCAAATTCTCAAAGCCCTCTTTCTGCATTTAGTTGCAAAAATTTCAACTATCTCTTTCTGATGTATTAGTGTTTTTTTGTTTCCATTTTCCTTAAAACTTCCTCATTGCTCACATGTCCATTATATTTATTATATCGTAGCATCCTTCTGTAGCACTCACCTCTGTTGCCTCAAGTGTTTTCTTCATCTGTGAGGAAATTGTCCAGCATTAACTACCATATAGGAGGATTGATACTATATAGCAGTTCAGCACTTTGTCTCTAATGAAATTTGTTTCTTAATACTTTGTTTAGCTTTGGAAGACATCTTTCATTATTCCAACACACCTTTTCTGTTAATTTCTCAAATCATTAAATTTCCGTACTTATTTGATTTTGACATCTCCAATTTGGAGTTCACATGTAAAGCTGTTCCTCTTATTGACAAACTGAAGTAGGTAACGCAACAACTCAACTGATGATAGCAGGTAGGAACAAAGAAAACCAGTGTCGCACGTCCAACCTTTCTCAAAAGCTGAAAGTTCTCTGATCTAAACAGCAAAACGAGCCTGCTTTATACAGCCGCAGACCAACCACGATTTGCATGCGAATGACGAGACAACGAGATTTAGCGTTAACTAACCGAGACCGCTCAGCATAAAAATATGGGCTCGCCATTTTGGTTTCTTTTGCCGTTGGAAGGACCAGAGTTTGCATACTTCCAGATTCGAACGCGTTTCGAGGGTAAGCCATTTTCACAATTTTCCCCACACTCCCCCTGATCTCATGATCAGGAACAGAACAAGGAGGTGGCGATCGTCGCCGTCGAGTCCCCCCCGAAGGGGATAACACAAGCTTCATCCTCGTGCGTGTTCTCGTCCGTGGTTTGAGTGTCGGTAAACACATCAGGGGCTTCCGGAATTTGACTTCCTCGTTTCCATCGGAGGGTGCCATTTTCTTCCCAGACCTGCAAGCCAAGAACTCTTGCTCCATCCCTCAGTCGCACCTGATCCTTGCACACCAAACCGTAATCCGAAAAGTGTTGTCTTACATGCGATGCAGAGGCCAAACTTTCATTAATGAAGATATCATCAACGTATGCTGATGTGGCTCTTTCAATTGTGCGGTCTTGCGATGCGATGGCATCTATAACGGATTTCATGATGAGTGGCACTACATTTAGCCCAAATCCTAGCAGCGTAAGACCCTTTTGGCCTTTGAAAATAACCGTTTGAAATGGCCACAGTGCTTCGTTGATGTTAATCTGAAGATATGCGTTCCGCAGATCCAGAATATGTTTTATTGACCCCCTGCCCCGCCCACGTTCTCAACTTATGTGCGCACACCTCTGCATCGGCGGTGAAAGCATCCACGCTGTTTCAATTCGCAAGGTAATGAATGCGGACGCACCTTCTGTTTCTGCTCCTGCACGACTGCCATCAAGGGAATCAGACCCTTTGGGGTCCCAGTCTTTCCTGAATTAATGGAATCAGCCAGCCGTTCACAATCCACTGCTGAAGCTCTCTTCGTATTTTCCTCTGATGCTGTCGGGAACTTTGTACTCTGCGATCTTGTTGCAAAGCTGAACTGGTGGTTTTTTTTGGGCCCATTTCCACCTGGCGGTCCACACCTCTCGTCGGAATTGAAAGAGACGTCGAAATCCGACTCACTAATGCAAAGGGCTGCACACACCTTTCTTCTTTCACCCAGTTCCACATTTCCGGCTGGCGTGATCATCATGTGTCCCTAACGCCGGATCGCATCAATCCCAAGTAGCAGGTTTCACCGAGGGGCCTTTGGCTGCCACCAAGGCGTCGACTTTGGTATGATTTCCCTCCGTCTGTTAGGACTGATACAGTCCCGACACCACAAAAAGGCCGGGACACCCCGTCAATCGTCCGAATCTCGATTTGTTGACTGTTCCATGTCATGCATCGATCCGCACTAACGATCGATCGGGAACATCCAGTGTCATTGGCGGAAAACATCGTTTACCCTCAGCTGGACACGTTGACAACAGGCAATGCCGCATTTACTTTTTTAAGGGGAAAAGGGTTGCGACAGCACCTTGTCCCCGGACTCAAGATGAGCAATCCTGTGCGAACATTTAACTCTTTATAGTGATAGCAAGCGTGGTGAAAAAGTTCGGTTCCATCTTTTTTCCGCCTCCTCGTTCCGCCGCCTCCGGCAGTCCCTAGAGAAATGGTTGGGTCCACTGCACTTGTAGCATGCCGGGCCCTCCCGCGGTGTCTCAGGCATTTTTCTTCACGGCTGCTTAAACCTGTTCCGTGTCCTTCAAGATGTTTGGGCCCTGGCTCTCAATTCGTCAATTCCCAGTGTGTCCAATCTTTGAAGACGCTCGCAGGAGCCGACTGGTGTCATCGGGAAGCCCTGCCAGGAAGGCGCGCACCAGAATATGAACGGCTCCGTTGCTCCGTAAGCGGTACTGCCAGCCGCCAAATCAGCCAGGTAAACATCTACGGTCTCACCCGGCTCGAGCTGTTGTCCGACGAACTGTTTCCAAGCGATGAATGGGTCTATTCCAAAGGGCGTCCTTGATCTCTTCTAGGTCAGCATCGTCCCCGAGTTGTTGATATACTGCGTAGGCTCCTCCCGTGAGTCTCAGTGGGATGACTAGTGCAGGTTCCTTTATTTTGGACACCCTGCAAACACGTTCGGCCTTTTCAAACCATTCGACGATAGTCGGGCCCGTGGGGGAGCCGTCGAATTCTGGGATCAATTTTAGATCGAACTTGTCCATTGCCGAAATAGCTTGAAGTAGGTAACGCAACAACTCAACTGATGATAGCAGGTAGGAACAAAGAAAACCGGTGTCGCACACCCAACCTTCTCACGAGCCGAAAGCTCTCCGATCCGAAACAGCAAAACGAGCCTGCTTTATACAGCCGCGAACCGACCACGATTTGCATGCGAATAACGAGACGAGATTTCGCGTTAACTAACCGAGACCGCCCGGCATAAAATATGGGCGCCACCATTTTGGTTCCTTTTGCCGTTGGAAGGACCAGAGTTTGCATACTGCGCAGATTCGAACGCATTTCCGAGGTAAGCCATTTTCACAATTTTCCCCACACAAACATACATTCTGTCTTTTTACAATTGATAGTCCTTCTTTCACGCTTTCTTTTACTACCTTGTTTAGGAGTTCCTGCAGTTTCCTTTCTGTGTTTGCTATCAACACAGTGTCATTTGTGTATCTTATGTTAAGATTGTGCCCATCAATAATACATCCTGGTAGGACTTCAAATTCTCTTAGGACTGCTTCTCTGTATAGATTAAATATATATGTTCAGAAACATATTCTTGCCTTATGCCCCTGTACTAACTCCATTTTCCATCCATATGCAGGTGATTTGCTCCCAGTATATATAAAGGATTATTCTGATGTCTTTCCCAAATAAATAAAATTCTCTTAGCAGTTTAAACAAATTTTTGTGTTGTACATTATCAAATGCAATGCTTTTGTGTAATCTTTGAAAAATAGGTGTATTTCCTCCTGCATTTGTATTACCCTCTCTCATATCATTCTGATCATAAATACTGAATCTTGTCTTTTTCTGATCTAATTCTTCTGTCTGAGTTTTTCATTTAAAAAAAAAAAAAAAAAAAAAAAAAAAAAAAAAAAAAAAACATTAATTATATGGCTAATTATTTGATTCTCCTGTTATAAAATGAAATAAGACATATCTCGGCTGATTTTCAGGCAAATAAACTAACATACTCAAGAGATGAGAGCTGGATGTGAGCAGGACAAGGCCCGTCACAAAATGACCATATTCTGGTTACGCATATTCCTGGCAGCACGAGTTCTGGTCAAAAAATAAAATAATATTTTAAAGTGTTTCTACTTTTCGACCAATAAAAATGCTTCCCTCCTAATTATACTCGCGTCATTTTACGAGCCTGTCAAGCCATAAAAAAACGCCATAAAAGGGGTCACATGGAAGTACAACGGCAGTCAACAGGAGGCCAGGGAAGAGACCTGTCACGGTCAGGCTGAGCGGTCAGCAGCAGCCAGCAGCAGTAGTGCCATGTCAACCAGCGAGAACTACCATGAGAGATTAACTCAGATCTTCAGCCGGCCTATGAACTATACCACAAGGAAGATGCCAACAGATTAAGAAAATTGCTAATTAAAGCATAGATCAATGGGAGGTTAAAATAAAGAAAGAACAGTTCAGAAATATTAATTAGTATCATAAAATGAAGATTTGAGAGAGCATTAAAATGGCTTGAAATCAAAGCTACGAGTTTACATTGCTAGTAACTTTTGTGTGACCAGTGAGGTCAAGCATGGTTTAGCATTTTATAGTCCTAATTTTCAAAAACAGATACTTATTAGAGCAATGAAATCAGATATATTAAAAAGCAATTCATAACAAAAAATATATATTGCCATAAATTTATGGTAATATATTATAAATTTATATATTTTTTGCTACCACTCTTTTTTTTTTTTTTTTTGTACCCCTGCAAAAATATTTCAAAAGATACTTACTTCCATGTGATTCGATTAGAATTTTTGTTGCTGCTGCCCACAATGTCCCGGTAGTAATAATGTTCTTCAGCTATCAGAATAGCAGAGGGGTCCTCACAATTATATACACATATCAAATCAAGAAACTGCTGGGATGTATCAGCTGATATTTTAACACCTGCATATTAAAAGAGAATGACATTAATGCATTTCAGTTTTTACATTAATACAAAATACTCAAAGAAATTCAAGGATTTTACTCATTGCAAAACAAGTCTATAACTGACATTGATATAATTAAGTTGTATCTTAAAGCAGAGCTAAAATATTTTTGTGTTAACATGAATGTAGCAGGCAAGATTAAAAAAATTAAAATCGAAAATGTTTATGATTTGATGAGAATGCAAAAGTATCTAAGTATGAAGAACAATTTTATTTAAAGGGTCAAACTGAACTACAATTTAGAAAATTAACCAAACTGTTTTCAATTTTGTAGGTTTCTTTATTATTTTTGCACATCAATAACATCTTTACTACCTGTTCCTAGTTGAATTCATTTCTTTCCTTTAAAGCACAAATTTCAGCAGTATTTGAATATTATGTTGTATTTTGTTATTATTACGTATTATGATGTCATAATGAATAGAGAAACAGATAACTATTTGACAGAAATTGCTATCTCTGTATTATTTGTTTCTAAGATCACATGATATCACTTTTTTGTGCAGATAATACCTTTATTAGACATTAGTTTCATGTTAAAATTATATTAAAGGAAGGATATTAACATTACTTATTAGAGTACAGCTAAAATATATTGGCAAAATATGTTATTGTTAGTAACTGAAGATTAACCAAACTGTTAGGCACTATTACATTTGATTACAGCTTTTTACCAGCTTTTCTATTTAAAAACATTGCTTTTTAAAGAACATCTTCTCACCCACAACCTAAATCTTTACAAAATGTCTTCATCTGAGATGCAACTAACATGTAAAGTTTGATTGACCAAGAGAAAGCATAGATAAAAATGTTTATCCATTTATTTATATGGTCAGTGGTATGTAACAATGACATTTTTAATAGGTAAATACAGAATTAAACAATTTGTTCATTTTTTTCAAAATGGTGTAACAAAATAAACAAAACTTTTGTAAAGCAATCATACAGAACATCACTTGCAAGGCCAGAATGCAGAGTGATATAATATTTTTGTTAATACCAGTTGTACAGGAAATTTTTTTTCAAGTGATATAATAAAACAAAATAATTTCAAGTTTGGATTATTTTTGGCTATATATTATTGAAAATTTTCACCTTCAGCAGACATATTCTTGAAAATATTAATGGCATCTTTCACTTTCCGATGAGAAATACAAGTCAGCAATGTTGATTCTGTATTTGGAGCCTTGGAAATGTCCACTTCCAGGTCTGGATTAAAACCCTTAAAAATAATGGGGAAGATAACTTGACCTTAACAGTTTCATATTTGAAACAAGCATAACCATATAGTAACACACATTAGTAAATAGACATCTTATTCAAATTTTACATTTAAGGTAAATTATTTGCTAGAAAAATCCAAGAGAAATAACTGCAGACTCAGTTTACTTGTACTTAAAAACACAAAGACTGGATGTTGGATTTAACGGCATGTCAACTCCTATTTGGGTCATTTTATGCCGAAGCCTTATTAATTTATGAATTTAAGATGGTTATATTGTATAAAAGGTTGAAAGGCTGTTGGGTTTCATAATCTACTGCATTTTTTGGGATTGCTTTTTCTTGTGATTGTTTCTGATTGTATATTTTCTTATCTGCATCCATACATGCATATATATGTCTATAAACACATATACACATACACTATTTGAAAGGGTTATATTTTATTGAGGATCTTTATTTCTTTGAGAAAAATGTATATTTTATCTGTGTCTGTATTTTTGAAAATTTCTTTTAAACCTTTTCCATTGAGATATTTTTGTCTTATTTTAGTTATGATTTTGCATTCCAATAGAATATGTTTTATTGTGATTAGGCTTCCACATCTACATTTTGGTGGATTTGTCTTTTTTAATATATAAGAATGGGTTAAGTATGTGTGTCCTATATGTATTCTGGTTATGACGACTTGTTTTTTCCGAGTATTTCAAGATTATTTCCCCATTTTCCTATTTTAGGTTGAATTTGAAAGAGTTTATTTCCGGTTTGGTTATTCCATGAATTTTGCCATTTGTTTCTCATATATTTATTTTTTTTAGGTTTTAAGTCTGTATATGGAATTTGAAGATTTTCGTCTATTGTCATTTTTAAAGATGATTTAGCAGCAGTATCTGCCTAGTCTCCTCCTTGGATGCCGACATGGCTAGGAATCCAGCAGAAGATGATATTTTTGCTTTTTTCCATTGAATGTAGTTTATATAGGAGACTTTGTATTAATGGATTTTCCAGTTTTTTCCCTTTTAGGGATGTTAATACAGATAATGAATCGGAGAAAATAATATAGTTTTCTCCTTTGTTTTTTTATATGAATTTTAGTGCTAGTTTTTATTGCGTAGCTTCTGCACTGAAAATTGATGCTTCAGTAAAGCGTTTTTTGATAATTGTTTTTTTTGTTATTTGCGCTGCCTGGTTTTTCTTCGTCTTTTGAGCTGTCCGTGTAAATACTTTCATAGTTTTGATATTTTTCTTTTATTTTTGAGAATTTTTCAATGTATGTTGTGGGGTGTGTTTTTGATTTTGATAATTTGTTTAAACTTAATATTATGTTTGGATTTTTGATTATCCATGGTGGTATGTTTGATTGGTTGGTTTTAAGTATTTGACTAGACTGTATATTATTTTCTTGGATGATTCCTTCCATTCGGAGTCCCAATGTTTTGATTTTATTTGTATTAAGATTAAATTTCTCTTTGTGATTTGGTGTTAGTACACAATCGTGTGTGGGGTTAGAAGGACAGGAAGAGAGTTTTAGATAGTATTGAGTTGCTAGTTTTTCCTTTCTTAGTTGTAATGGGGGTTCATTTGCCTCTACATGTAGGCTCTCTATAGGTGAGGTGGGATAGGCTCCTAGAGCTATCCGAAGGCCTTCATGGTGTATTGTGTTTATTGTTTTTAGATAGGACTTTCTAGTTGATTGGTAGACCATGCTGCCATAGTCCTGTTTGGAGCGGATCAACGTTCTATAAAGTTTAAGAAGGGTTTGTTTGCTAGCTCCCCATTCTGTGTGGGCTACTGTTCGCAGTAGTTGGAGAGCTTTAAAACATTTTGTTTTTAGGTAATTGATATGTGGTCTAAAGGTCAGTTTGCTGTCAAAGATCATTCCTAGAAATTTATATTACTGAACTACTGGTATTTCTTCATTTCCTAGTTTTAGAGTTGGGTTATTGTGTAATTTTTTCAGTTGGCAGAAGTGTACAGATTTTGTTTTTGTTTTTGATATTTTAAAACCGTTTTCGAGTGTTCATTTGTTTATTTGATGTAAGCATTGTTGAAGTTGTCTCTCTGCTGTGTTGAGATTTCTCGATCTCTAATATATTGTAAAATCATCAACATAAAGGCTACAGTGTATTCCTGATTTGATGTTTTTTATTATGTCATTTATTTTTATTTTGAAAAGTGTAGGGGAGAGTACACTTCCCTGTGGTACTCACTCTTCTTGCTTTTGATAATCAGATAGTGTAGCATCTATTTGTACTTGGAAGAGTCTATCTGTTAAAAATCCTTTTACAAAGTTTGGTAGTCGGCCTCTTAGTCCTAGTTTATGCAGATCTTTCCATGTTTGATCAAATGCTTTTTCTATATCAAAGAATATGGCTATTAGATGTTGTTTGTTTAAATTGGCCTCTCTTATGGCTGTTTCTAATCTTATTATGTGGTCTATTGTACTTCTTCCTTTATTATATCCACATTGATATTTTGATATGTGTTTTCCTTCTTCTAGAAACCAACTCAATCTGGCATTGACCATTCGCTCCATTGTCTTACATAGACAGCTTGTTAATGCTATTGGTCGGTAACTTTGTGGATTGTTTCGTTCTTTGAGTATGAGAATAATTATCAATTCTCTCCATATTTTGGGAAATTTCCCAGTTGTCCAAATATTGTTAAAAATATTCAAAAGGTATTTCAGCAATTCTTGTGGTAGTTGTTTAATAAATTCATAGTGGATTTGGTCTGGGCCTACTGCTGTATTGTGGGATTTTTTTATGGCTTCTATTAGTTCTGCTTCGGTGAATAGGTTGTTGTAGGCTTCTGTATTTTTAGATGAAAAATTTAGTTGGTTATTTATATCTTTTTGTTTATACTTTTGTAGGTTTTGATTTTTATTCATTTTAGAGTTTTCTGCAAATGCCTCTGCTAGTAGGTTTGCTATCTCTTTTTTGCTGGTTGCTTTAGTGTTGTTCTTTTTAAGATGTATTATTGGGGATATTTGATTTTTTCCAGCTATTTTTCTCATCATTTCCCATATTGATTTGGTTTTGGAATGTGTATTTAGGCTATTTACATATTTTTTCCAACATTTCCTTTTGGCTTCTTTAACAGTTTTCCGTGCTACTGCTTTGAGTTTTTCATTTCAATCAAATTTTGGGTTGTGGGTTCCTTTTTAATTTTCATGAGTCCTATTTCCTGGTTTCTGACTGCTTTTTTGGCAGTTTTTTGTCAAACCAGGGTTTAGTTTTTTTATAATTATTTTGCTTTTTGGTATATTTTCTGAGGCAATGGTTATTAGTGTTTTGGTAAAGTATTCTATCGAGTTGTCTGTGTCTTTTGACTGTATCAGTAATTGTTTACATTTGTTTTTGAAACCCTCCCAGTTGGCTCTTTTCAGTTTCCATCTGACGGGGCCTATCTTTTCTTCCTTGGCAGGCTTTTGATTTCCTAGAATGATTGGGTAATGATCACTTCCACATGTGTCGCTATGTGTTTTCCATGTATAGTCTATACAAATTTCTGGATCGCATATACTTAAGTCTATTGACGATTCTGTTCCACTGGAGGGATTAAGGTAGGTTGAGGATTTATGATTTAGTAGACATAAGTTATGGATGTTAATTATTTCTTCTAATATTTTACCTTTAGTATCTATCTTTTTGCTATTCCAGATAGGATTATGACTGTTAAAGTCTCCTAGTAAGATTCTGGGTTTAGGAAGTTGCTCCATCAAGTTGTTTATTTCTGTTGTATTTATTGGTTCCTGTGGGGGTATATAAATGGAAAGAATTGTGATGGTTTTATCTAGTGTCACTTGTGTTGCTATTGCTTGTAATTTAGTTTTAATGTGTACTTTACTTTGCGGTATGTCATTTCTAATCAATATTGACACTCCTCCATTAGCTCTATGTCCTGTATTGTGGTTATAGTGGTATTGTTTATAATTTTTAATTTTTAAGTTGACATTTTCTTTTAAAAAAGTTTCCTGTAAGCAGATGACGGCTGGATACAGTAGTGACATAATTATGAGTAGGTCATTGTAATTAGATTTTATTCCACAACAGTTCCATTGCAGGATCTTATGTGCCATGGTTATATTTTCATTTTTTGGGGGTAAAGTTACCTACTCGGTTTATATCATTTGTCCTCTCCAGTTTTTTTCCATCTCTTGAGTTTTTAGAAGCTTTGTCTTCAACTGCTTGTGGTGTCCTTCGGTCAGATTTTGGGTTTTGTTTTGGATTTTGTTTATTTTCTTTCTCTTCTATTTCCATATATTCCATAGGTTCAAATTTATTTTCATTTGATATATTGATTCTTGATTTTGAGTTAGATCTTGATAGAGTGTTTTCTTGTTCTGTTGTCACTTTTTTGTCTTTTTGTTTATTTTTCATTTTCTTGGTTTGGGTTTGGAAAGAAGAGGGTTTGCTGGAGTTTTGTTCTATGTTTTCTTTCCAGAGTTTTTTGCCTTCTTCTGGGTTAATTCCATTTGATTTGGGTTGTTGAGTTTTATTTTGATCCAATTTAAGTTCAATTAAAAAGGTTTTTAATTCTTCAAGGAAAGCTTTTAATTCCTTACATAAATTTGTTATTTCAGTTGAACCTTTTATTTTATCTTCATTGTTTATTTTATTTGCTTTTTGTACCATGGAGGCGTAGGTGTTTTCTTTTATGTTATTTTTAACTTCCTTTTGTGCTTCTGAGAAAGATATATTTTTTTTGTATTTTATTAGGATTATTTCTTTTTCCTGTTTATAGATATTACATTGTTTTGAGAGGGCAGAGTGGTTTCCCAAACAGTTTGAGCATAGGCTCTCATTTGGACAGTTCTCTTCTTTATGTTCTGGTTCTTTCTCACTACATTTTCCACATGTTTTTTGGTTTCGACAGGAAGCTCTGTGATGCCCAAATTTGTGGCATCTATAGCATTGAAGAGGGTTTGGTATGTATTGTTCTACTTTTATAATTTCATATCCAATTTTAATTGTTGTCGGAATTTGGGGGGAGTTGAAT